AGCGGTGTGGTAGAACTACCAAGCAAACATCGCATATAAATCATATTAGAAAGCTCAATTCCTAAGGGACCTATCTATAGGATGTCGCCGAAAGAGTTGGATGAACTGCGAACCCAGCTTGACGAGTTGCTGGAAAAGGGGTGGATAAGACCTAGCTCCTCGCCCTACGGTGCGCCTGTACTTTTTGTATCAAAGAAAGATGGCGGGGTACGCATGTGTATAGATTATAGAAGACTTAATGATGTAAGTGTTAAAAATGTTGAGCCATTACAAAAAATAGACGATTTGTTCGATCGAGTGCAAGGTAGCAAGTACTTCACTAAGATTGATCTGAAGCCCGACTATCATCAGATTGAGGTAGAGTCAGAAGACCAATACAAAACCGTCTTTCGAACGAGGTACGGACACTATGAATTTGTGATGTTGCCTTTTGGTCTTACGAATGCACCTGCAACTTTTCAAAGAACCATGAATGAGTTTTTCCGTGAATGGCTTGATAAATTTGTTGTCATATATCTTGATGATATTTTGATTTTTAGCAAGAGTCTAAGTGAACATTGCGAGCACCTTCGACTTGTGCTAAATAAATTGCGTGAAGCAAAATTGAAGTTAAACCCAAAGAAGTGTGATTGGGCTAAGCGTCAGGTTTTGTATTTGGGGCATGTACTTGATGGTGATGGTATCAAACCGGAAGATTCAAAAATTGAAGTCATTAGAGATTGGCCAAACCCCCGCAGTTTGACTAACTTGTGGTCGTTCCTTGGGCTAACCAACTATTACCGGAAGTTTGTTAAACACTTCACGATAATCGTTGCACCCCTTCGCAGATTGCTTAAGAAAGAAACCATCTGGAAGTGGGATTTAGATTGTACGGCTTCGTTCAAACGCTTAAAAAAATGTCTAATTAATTATCCGGTTCTGAAGGTCGCTGATCCTTCTTTGCCCTTTGTCGTGACAACCGACGCCTGTCAGTATGGGATAGGTGTTGTGCTCCAGCAAGATGATGGGAATGGGTATAAACCTGTTGAGTTTTTGTCCCGACGA